TCCACTTCCTCCAGTATCTCCTCCCGCACCATCCGGTAGTAGGTCTCGGCTTCTCCTGAGAGCGTCACCACCATGCGTCTGAAGAATTCGCCTGGATCCATCCCGTCCCTTTCCCAGCAGTACTTGACTGTCTCCAGCTGCATTAGGTAGTTCTTCAGCGACGGTCCCACTCCTGGAATTCCCGTAAAGCGCTCGGCGACTTCGATTTTCGGTAGTCCTGCGGTGGTCCACCGATGCGCCTTGGGAGATATGGGACACGACGGTTCTTCGATCTGTACCGCGACTCTGCTTTCCACCAGTTCGTGGTCGTGCGGGGCTTGCTGCCCTCCGCTACCGTTACCCCGTGTCCATTCTTCTTTTGCCTCTCTTGCCCGCCTTTGCATTCCGGGCATATTTCTCGGCGATCTGGTTTCATATCGCGTTTCCCATCGCGCTCTCGCTTCGCTCGCCCATTGTGGGTTGATCAGGGTTCCTCCGGGATCTGAGCTGACATGTAACTTCCCCTCCATGTCTTGATCTGCTTCGCGCGCTCTCTGATGTGGGGTACGATACGACGGGGGAGTACGCCGCGGGCTGGTACGCTCGGCGGAATCTACGCCGTCCGTCGTTACTACTCTGGGCTGCGCTCTCCAACTTGGCGCGGCCTGCAGGTTTTCTCTACTGTCACTTAATCTAGACTTGAGCCGAAATTCTTCGGTCATCGCTCTTACGTGCAGTTTCCTTGCGAGTTTGTAAAAAGCTCCTCTGCCTACAGAGGTGGCAACTATCGGTGGGGATGAGCTCGGCAGACTCACTTCTCTCCCCAGGCTCAGCTCATTGCTTGCTAGGATTGGCTCCACGCGTGCTTGGTGCTAAGGGTTTCGCCAGCCTTTATTGTAGCTCAGTGTGAAAACAAGCTCGCAAGCAAGGATCCCCTACTTGCCCTACTGCTTAAGTAATTGCTAGCAGTGGTTACCGTTGCCGAGCAACGGTGCTTTCGGCCATCTCGGTTCCATCTCCCACGCTAACATTCCCTTTTCCCCCTTCCTTCGATACAGCATCTTTGGCCTAGTTTCTATAGTCCTGCTTTATATCTTAGTTATTTCTACTCTATGATAGAAAGCATGACAGGTTCGACAAACTCACCAGTTTGACTCGGCTCAATAAACTGACCAGATCAAAGTCAGTTCATCAAACAGACTAGTTTGAGTCAGTTCAACAAACTGACCAGTTTGACTTGGTTAAGCAAACTCACCAGTTTTACTTGGTTCAAGAAACTGCCAGATTGACTTGATTCAACGTACTAACCAGTTAGACCTGGTTCAACAAAGCGACCAGTTTGACCCGGTTCAACAAAGTCTCCAGTTTGGCTCGGTTCAACAAAGTCTCCAGTTTGGCTCGGTTCAACAAACTGACCAGTTTGACTTGGTTGAACAAGCTGACCAGTCTGACTCGGTTCAACAAGCTGACCATTTTGACTTGCTTCAACAAACTAACCTGCTTGACACGATTCAACAAGCTGACCAGGTTGACTCGGTTCAACAAACTAATCAGTTTGACTCGGTTCAACAAACTGACCAGTTTGACTCTGTTCAACAAACTGACCAAACAAACAAGTTTGAGTCAGTTCAGCAAGCTGACCAGCTTGACTTGGTTCAACAAATTGACCAGTTTGACTCGGTTCAACAACTGACCAGATTCACTCGGTTCAAATAGCTGACCGATTTGACTCGGTTCAATATACTGAGCAGTTTGACTCGGTTCAACAAAGTGACCAACTTGACTTGGTTCAAGTGATCACCAGTTTGACTCGCTCCAACAGACTGACCATTTTGACTCGGTTCAACAATGAGTTCAGCTTGACTCGATTCAACAAGCTGACCAGCTTGACTCGCTTCAGCAAACTGACCAGCTTGAGTCAGTTCAACAAACTGACCAGTTTGAGTCAGTCCAAATAATTGACCAGTTTAACTATATTCAACAAGCTGACCAGTTTGGCTCGGTTTAACAAACTGACCAGCTTGATTCCTTCCATGCTGAATTGTTACGCGTTATGATTTTGCACAAGGTTCAGCCAAGGGGCTGGGTATTTTTGCCAGTTCTGTAGGTATGGTACTCTCCGAACCCTCTGAATGATAGGAGTTTAGAGTGGATGCAACGATTGTTGAACGGTCATTGGGATGTTAAGAATTGAGAGAACAAACGGCAATGGTGACACAAACAAAGACACACATCAGCAGTACAAAAAGAGGGGTTGAGGGTGGAGGGTGAGGCTTCTTGGATTATATTCGGGCCTCAGAGTGTCATGTTCCACTTCCCAGTGCACACACGTCCCAGTTCACACACGTACAAGTTCACACACTTCCCAGTTCACACACTTCCTAGTGCACACACGTCCAAGTGCACACACTTCCCAGTACACACACTGTTAATGGGAATAGAGAGTTGGCCCCGCCCTCACTTGGGCGAAGCCAATGTTGTGGTCAGGTGCGGGGGAGGTGCGGCCGACCATCTGCAGAGTTCGACGCGTGCAGGTCGACGGAGTTGGTCGACCTGCAGAAGGCTACTGCAAAGTCGCCGTCGACGGGAGCCGGCGACATAGTTCGACATGGGAGGTCGACGAAGTAGTTCGTCGACCTGCACGGGACTTGCGAGCGGCCGTCGAATGGAGGAGTTCGACGGCAGCGACTGAGGATGTTGGTCGACGAGGGTGGTCCTTGACGAGGGTGGTGGTCGACGAGGGAGGTCGTCGACCATGGCACCAGGTGGTCTGCGGAGATTCACTCTACAAGGTAGTGAGCTAGACTACAGGGGGGAGTTGGCACGAACTACTAGGAGTGATCGTAGCTTTGCTTAGTTCCTTAGCGCTTGCACATTCACGGGAGAAATCGGCAAGAGTTTCACTAGGCAAAGATTGCATTGAAGAATGATTGAACAAGCAATGACATAATATGACTACATCAGGCACCTAGCAACTCTGCAGCTAGCGTGGTCGACCGCCAGCACAGCTTGGTCGACTGCCTGCCAGCGTTCCGTAGAGGAGCCGCGCCAGCACTGCAGAAAGGCGACCTGCCAACACTGCAGGTCGACGGCGTGCCAATGCTGCAGCAGAGCGGCTGCCCAGTGCTGCCCCGTAGAAGACAACAGTGTGCACATAAGCAGGTGCACGCAGACGATTGGCCCGACTTGCATTGTTGTGCATCCGTCGGCTGTTGTCTGCCCCTTGAGCCACATCGACTTCGGGATACCAGCCCGAAGTCGCCTTTGTCACTGCGACCTCGACGACGTTCGCGTGCCTCCACAGAACTCGCTGAGCAGGTTACCTGGTCGACCTGGACACCACCAGGTGCTCTGGTCGACCACCGGGTGCTCTGGTCGACCACCGGGTGCTCTGGTCGACCACCGGGTGCTCTGGTCGACCACAAGATGCTCTGGTCTACCACCAATTGCCTCTGGTCGACCACAGCTCCCGTCGAGCAAGACCCTGGTCGACAGACCCCCCCGTCGACCAGCACTGTCAGCTACTGTCGCCGAGCTCCCCTCATCGATTGCCCGTCAGCCCCAAGCCCTCAGCGACCGTGATTGCCGACGTGTTGTCCACACGGAGGACAGTCAGCTTCCTAGCGTTTAGCTGTTGGAACTCCGCAAGGAGGAAGCGGAGTCGGCGTCCCTCCTTCCCAGCGTTCGTTGCCGCTGCGGAGATAACTACTACAACGGGAGCTAGACTACAGGCTAGGCACGGGTGCTCGTGTGATCTCTGCGTTCGTTGGTCCTTAGTCGTTTTCCTAGTGCACACTCTGCTTGCTAGTTCAAGGGGCAATTTGGCAAGAGTTTCACTAGAGAAAGTCGACAACAATGGTACAAAGTAGTTGGCACGGCAAGACTACATCAGAGCTAGCATTCAGGTCGGTCGACTGCCAGCACAGCATGGTCGACCGCGTTCCAGCACGACTTGGTCGACCGCGCTCCAGCAGTGCAAAGTTGACAGCGTGCCAACGCTGCAGGTCGACGGCGTGCCAGCGTAGCTCCCGCAGTACAGCATCGCACCAGCTTCGCAGGTGCTCGCAGATGATTGGTGTGCTGAGCCTTGTCACCTGCACAACGCACACACCAAGTCAACCTGGCGCTGACGACTGCATCTGATCAGCCACGTCGACCTCGAGATACCACCACCGAGGTCGGACTCGCCAACTTCGCTTGGGCGACCGTCGCACTCCTCCGCAGAACCTCGTCACCCTGGTAACCTGGTCGACCGGGCAACCACGTCGACCAGCTGCTCCTGTATGTGTCCGTCGACCTCCCAAGTCGACCACCACCCCAAGTCGACCTCACCAGGTCGACCACGCCCCTGGTCGACCAGCTCCAGGTCGACGTCACTCCTGGTCGACCAGCTCCACTTCGACCAGCACTCCTGGTCGACCAGCTCCATGTCGACCAGCGCAGTTGTCAGCCGACCACCCAAGTCGGCTACCCGAAGTCGGCGTCACCAAGTTGACGCCCTGCTACTCGACGCCCAGCTGCTTGGCGTCCTGAGTCGTGGTCGACGTCGGCCCCTCCTCCGTCGACCACCAGGTCAGGTCGACCACCAGGTCGACGTCATGCTTGGTCGACCAACCACCAAGTCGACCAGCAGGGCTGTCAGCCGACCACCCAAGTCGGCTGCCCCAAGTTGGCGTCACCAAGTCGATGCCCTCCGCAGGCCGACTTGCCAGGTCGACCTCCCTGTAGTCGGCGCCGCCCTGAAGTCGGCGCCCGTGCAGTGGCTCCTGTGCAGGTCGACCTTCCTGTCAACCAGCTCGCCCACTGCTGCAGGTTGGCTGCTTCCCTCACACCCGACCACGGAGTCGGCTCCGCCCAAGCGAGGACGGGGCCAACACACAACTCCTGTTGACACTCGCCTGCCGCGTTCACGCTTGGGCCCCCAGCCCACACGGCAGTACTCCTCAGAGAATAGCTCGTCGACGTGCACCCAACACACAGCACGTCGTCCACCGCACCAGCCATGCGAGAGGGCATGGCACCTACTGCTGCACGTCGTCATCTTCGTTGCCCACGTCGGCCAAGCGCACCTGGCCGATGGCGACGGAGCACCGGTTGAAGGCCGGATAGTGCAGCGCCTTCGTCAGGAAGTCGGCCGGCTGCTCGGTGGTCGGGATGTACCTCAGCGAGAACTTCCCACGCCTCACCATGTGCTGCAGCCAGGCCTGTCGCCGCTCCATGTGCTTGAGGTTGCCCGTCAACCCCATGCCCTCGGCGACCGTGATGGCCGACTTGTTGTCCACCCGAAGGACAGTCGGCTTCCCAGCATCCAACTGCTGGAACTCTGCGAGGAGGAAGCGAAGTCGACGTCCCTCCTTGCCGGCTTCCGTGACCGCCACGTACTCCGACTCGGTCGACGACATCGTCGCGCACTTGATGCGCTGGCTCGACCAGGAGACTGCGGCCCCTCCGTAGACGAACACGTAGCCGCCCGTGCTTGTCATGTTCTGCTTGTCACCGGCATCGTCGGCATCCACGTAGCCGACCAGCTCCAGCGACTCAGGTCCACCGCCGAACTCCAGGGCGGTGTCATGCGTGCTGGCGAGGTAGGAGAGGCAGCGGTCGACCTCACGCCAGTGCTGGTCGCTCCTCACCGTAAGGCCGCTCCTCAGCTTGCTGCAGGCGAAGGCGATGTCCAGCCTCGTCGTCGTCGCCGCGAACTGCAGCGAGCCGACCTTCTGCCGGTACTCCTCCTCCTGGCGCTCCTGGGCCTCCTCGTTGTCGAACGTCAGCTCGTCGTAGGCGTCAACCGAGACCGGCGTCTTCAGGGTGCGCCCGGTCTGGTCCTCGTCGATGAAGCGCCTACGCAGCTTGTCGGCGTAGCCCTGCTGGTGCAGCCACAGCTTCCTCGCCGACCTGTTGCGCACGATCTCCAGCCCGAGGTGCCTGTCCACCGGCAAGATCTCACGCAGCTCGAAGGCAGCCTCCAGCAGCTCCTTCAGCTCCCTCAGCATGTCCGTGCTGCTGCTGGCGGCCAGCAGGTCGTCGACGTAGACCAGCACCCAGCAGGCCACGCCATCCCCGCCGACCTTGAAGTACAGCACCTGGCCGACCTGGCTCTTCTTCCAGCCAGCGCCCATCAGCACGTCGTCGAGCGCCTTGTACCACAACAGCGGCGATTGCTTCAGCCTGTAGATGCTCTTCAGCAGCTTGCACACCCGGTCGGTTCCGTCGTTGAAGTAGTCCGGCTGGTACATGTACAGCACCCGGTCGAGCTTGCTCTGCAGGAAGGCGTTCTTCATGTCGAGCTGCATCAGGTTGAGGTCGAGGACGGCGACGATGCTGAGGAAGATCCTCAGCGTGACGTAGCTACTCACCCGGCGCATACGTCTCGTCGTAGTCGGCGCCATACATCTGCGTGCAGCCCTTCACGACCAGCCTCGCCTTCTCACGCTCGACGGTGTCGTCGATGCGGTACTTCGTCATCAACACCCACCGGTTCTTCATGATGTTCACCCCGTGTGGGCGTTTGACCAGGTCCCACGTCCCCATGCCGATCAGACTGCGGATCTCCTCGTCCATGGCGACCTTCACCGCCTTGCCCTTCTAGCTCGCCAACGCCTCCTTCACCGTCATCGTGGAGATATCCCAGTGGTGCTCGGGGTCGGCGTGCATGTCGGGGTCGAGCTCAGGCAGGTCGACGTCATCCTCAGCGTCGTCGTACAGAGGCTCATCCTGGACGTCCTCGTACATCGCGGCTAAGGTGGCCGGCACCCGGCAGACGTGCTAGGACAGGAAGTCAGGTGGCCTATGGACTCGGCCTGTACGACGAGGTCTTGACAGGACTTCCACCACGTTGCTGTCGGTGGACTCATCGGCGCCCAGCTACTCCCCTTCGCTGTCACCTGCTCCGCTGCCCTCGATGTCCTGCTACACCTCAGTCGGCGTTCTTGCCAACTTCTCCCCTGCCGTTGGCTCCCCTACCGACTGCACGGTCGCCGACTGCTCCTTGGTCGGCTTTGCTACTGCCTGCTCCCGTGTCGGTTGCTGCCCTGCCGATGCCTCCTTCGCCGGCTTAAGCAAAGTCGGCTGCACCTCCTCGGCCTGCTCCTCTCCTGTCGGAGTGGACTGTACTCCCACGCCGACTTGCTGGTCGTCCCGTCGGCCTCCGGCGATGCTCTTGGCCGGCGCCACAGGTGACGGCCCATTTCTCCCCTCATCGCCGGTGGCCGACGTGGAGGTCAGCTTACGCAGGTCGGCGACAAGGGGCGGGGCAGGTGGGGCAGGGGAAGGAGGGCAGACGACTGCCGTGTCCTCATCAACAAGCTCACCGACCTCGGCGAGCAGGGGCAGTGTCGCCGTCGAGGTGTCCGTCGGCAAGTTGACCTACGTCCGCCCCGACGCCGGCCCGTGCTCCGACTTCCACACCTCCAGCGACATCGTCTCGTAGAACACCACGTCCGACGTGGTGGCCACCCTGTTGTCGGTGAGGTCCAGGATCTCCCATCCCTTGCTCTCCTCCGACACATTGAGATGAAGGCCCCACCGGGCCTTCGGCTTCAGCTTTCCACCACGCTGCTGCTCGGGGACCAGGAAATGCGCCATGCAGCCCCACACGCAAGCCAGCGACAGGTCGGGCTTCTTCCCGGTGAGCAGCTGGTACGGCGTCGTCCCCGGCGGCAGCGTCGACCTCTCAAGGCAGTTGCGGACTCAGACTGCCTACCGGAGAGCGAGGTGCCACCAGTAGTGCTGCACGCCTATGTGCAGCAGCATCGTCCGCACCGACTCCACCAGTGTCCTCATCTCCCGCTCCGCCATGCCGTTCTGCTGCGGTGTGTAGGGGCAGGCGAGGTCGTGGACGATCCCCTTGCCGTCCACGAAGGTAGTGAACTCCTTCCCAAGGAACCCCCCTCCCCGGTCAGAGCGCAACATCAGCACCGACTTCTTCGTCTACCGCTCAGCCACCACCAGCCACTTCTCGAACTCCCACAGCACGTCGGACTTCTTGGCAACCGGCCTCACCCACACATAGCAGGTCTTCCGGTCCTTCAGCAGCAAGAAGTACAGGCTGCCGTCCTTGGCAGCCACCCGAAACGGCCCGCAAAGGTCGATGTGCACGACAGCCAGGGCGTCGTCGGCGTCGGAGCCCTTGTCGGGGAAGGTGTGCCGCGCCAGCTTCCCGCCAACTTAAGAGACACACGGAGAGTCGGTGCCGGCCGACGGCTTGACGTCCAGACCGGTGGCGACTTTGTGCTTCGCCGAGCTCATGATGGTGTCGACGCCGACGTGGGAAAGCCTGACATGCCACATGGCCGGCGTCGACTTCGTTGCCGTGGCGATGGTCCGCAGAGCCACCGTCTCCATCGTGGTCGATGTCGACGTCGCCGTGCACGTATGAAGGTCGGTGCAGAGGACCCGGCCGGTGTAGGTTGCCCGACCGAGGACGTCCCCGGCCACCGAGACGATCAACATCCCGTCTCCCTCGTCCTACAGCTTCACGCCGCTCTCCTTCATCTGGCCGGCTGACAACAGGTTGGCATGCATGTCAGATATATATGACTTAGTCTGTATAGGCTATAGTGGGGTAGACACTAAGGGGTACAAGTTTCTAGGGTTTCCTATTTGTACACAACATTTCCTAGTTCATTTCATTCCTCATTTCTTCACATGGTATAGAGCTGGTTCCCTCGTGGGACGGTTTCTTCCTTGGGCCCACCATTCGATTTTTTTTTTCCTGCCCTAAACGCGCTTCGCGTCCTGCCCCAAAACTTCGCGACCCCCCCGCCCCTTAGCGGTCCCCGTCGCGACTCCTTAGCGGCCCCTCGCGGCCCCTCTTAAGGCCCTTTGCGGCCCCCTCACGGCCCTTCGCGGCCCCTTCGCGGCCTTCGCGGCCCCTTTCGCGGCCCTTCGCGGCCCCCTCACGGCCCTTCGAGGCCCCTTTGCGGCCCTCTGCGGCCCCCTCTCGGCCCTTCGCGGCCTCTTCGCGGCACTTCGCAACCCTCCGCGGCCCCCCCTTCATGGCCCCTCCACGGCTCATCGCGGCCCCTCCGAGGATCTTCGCGACCCGCCACAGCCGCCCAGCCGCCCTGTCGCCGCCGCCCCAGCAGCAACTACAGTCGCGCGTGCTGCCGCTGCCGCTTCCGCTGCTGCCGTGATCGCCGCCGCCGCTGCTGTCGTCACAAGCCGCCGCCGCTCCTGCTGTGACAGCTGCCGCGGCTACTGCTGAGACAGCCGCCGCCGCCGCTACCGTGACAGCCGCCCCAGCCGTCCCGGCCCTGCACTGCAGCCGAGTCGCGGCCCTGCCCTGCCGCCCTGTTGCGGCCCTGCTCCTACCGACGCACCTCGGCCCTGCCCCACCACTTGCGGGTTCTTACCCACCCGCCCCTGGTAAGCGCACAGCCGAGCCGCGCCCCTCCTGCTAGCCTGCTTCTGCTAGCCTGCTTCTGCTGCTGCTGCTGCTAGCCTGCTGCTGCTGCTGTCATGACTAGTCCCAACGTACTTTCCTTTGATGCTGAGGGTCGAGCGGTAGACTTTGAAGTCTGGATCGATGATCTGCAGCTGTTCCTGCAGTGCGATAGCAAAGACGGCCTCTCACTGTTCGATCTCACGTCTGGTGCCTCCCCTGCCCCTGCTGCCGATGCTACTAGCACTGTTCGCTCTGTCTGGACCACACGCGATGCTGCTGCTCGCCAGAGCCACCGTCTCCATCGTGGTCGATGTTGATGTCGCCGTGCACGTATGAAGGTCGGTGCAGAGGACCCGGCCGGTGTAGGTTGCCCGACCGAGGACGTCCCCGGCCGCCGAGACGATCAACATCCCGTCTCCCTCGTCCTACAGCTTCACGCCGCTCTCCTTCATCTGGCCGGCTGACAACAGGTTGGCATGCACGCCCGGGAGGTAGAGCACGTCGGGGATGAGCACCTGCTTCCCGGACTTTCCTTGCAGGGCGACGGTCCCGCGGCCCTGGACGGTCTGCAGCGCCCCATTGAAGCCGCGCACGTGCTTGACATCGCCGCTCGGCCCCAAGTCGACGAAGGCCTCCTTCGTCCCCATCAGGTGGTGGGAGCAACAACTGTCGGGCAGGACCACCGCCGGGTTCGCCTGCACGGATGCTGCCACCGCCTGGAAGTCCTCACCGGCCTCTGGCGCCAGCGAGATGGTCGGCTCCACGACGCTGACCAGCGAGCACGACGCTTCTCCGTTGCCTCGCCCTTTGCCGCCTGAGGAGGAGTCGACGTCCTTCGCCGAGGTCGACTTGGTCGACTGCTTCTCCTTGCGCGGCTTGCTCTCCCGGCGAGGGCGACGCCAGGCCGACCTCCCTCGGCCTCCCTTCGGCCTCCCTTGGTGTCGTCGTCGTCGGAGTCGCTGCGGCCGGGGCACTCGAAGGAGAGGTGGTCGGGGTCGCCACACAGCCAGCACTCCCGACGTCGACTTCCTTCTCCGTGACCGCTGTCCCTTGCCGACTTCTTCTTGTCGGCGTCCTTCGTTGGCTTCCCACCACTGCTTCCAACACCGCCAGACTGCCCACGCTGCCCCAATCGACCACTTTGCTTCGCTGGGGCGGCGTAGTTCACCTGCAGCAGGAGCTCCATGGACCGCTCGGCCTCCTGCATCGCCTCGTCCCTGAGGATGTACGAGTCCTCGTTGAGCGTTGCCCGCGTGCTCGACACCACCGACATCCGCTTCATCAAGTTGTGGCTGCTCGAGAGCCCCTTCAGGACGTGGGTGACGTACGACGCCGTTGAGTACTGCACGACGGACATCCTCATGGTGGCGAGAAGTCGCCGAGCCCGGTTGCAGTAGTCGGTCGCCGTCTCCTGGTCGCCCATCCGCAGATGCGTCATCTGCTCCTCGAGTTGGCCGATGTACAGGTCGTCGGTGACCTGGTACGTCGACTCGATGAAGTGCCACGCCTGGTGGCCGGCGTCCACGTAGTCCCTGCACGGCTTCAGGGCGATCTGCACGCCGGGCGAGCACCATCGTGAGATGACCGTGAAGGTCAACAGTTGCACAACGCGAAACTCCACACGCTGGTCGGAGTAGTTCTCGGACGGCGTCGCCACGGTGCCGGCGGCGAAGCCCATCGGCCCGGCCATCTCCAGCTGAGGCTCAATTGCCTCCTTCCACGTGAGAATGTCAGGTCAACCGACCAGCAGGGGGGTTACCGAGATTCTGTCCAGCATAAACTTGAAGTAGCCCTAGCTCGGCGCTATCCCTCCCGCTGTCACGTGAGTCGCCGACGACGGCGTCAATCCGCTTCGTCGACCTCCAACATCTCCTTGCGAGGACCCTGCAGCCGCCGACGACCGCATCCCTCGCGCCTGAACGCCGCCGATTTCATCGGCACGAATCACACCTCGCTGCCTCGACGTGCCTCCCGCACTGCTGCCGGCTTGGTCACCGGCGTTGACGCCCACGTCGACGCCGCCCCCGTCGTTCACCGGTCGAGGAGAAGCAGGTCGAGAAGGGTGCTCTGTCGCCCACACGGCGCGGATGCCAGCCTCAACGACCGCCCAAGGGATGTCCCCGTACTCGCGCACCTCATGGCGTCTCCTCGAATCCTCCAGCCGTGCGTCTAAGGTATCTGCAACACCAGTGTCACCTACGCCAACCATGGTGGTGACTAACGCACAGCTGCCGGCCTACGAACAACTTAGGTAAGTCGGACTAAGTTGACTAGACTGAAAACTACATCGCGGTGCCGTCCACGCTCACCGCACCATGCGGAGATAACTACTACAACGAGAGATCGA